AGGTGGAGGCTAATCACCACGCAATCACCGCTCCCGGTGCGGCCGGGACTCCGACCCGTTCCCAGAAAGCAGCAACCGTCTTTTGCCGCCCTGGGGCATTCACCAGCGCGCGGTACCGGTGCTGCAAAACCAACAATCTTCGTCCTGTGCCGCGGAAAAAAGAGCACTGCCCTCCCCACCCCTCCCTCCCCCGCCCCGCGTCGCCCTGGCCACCCCTTTTCGCCAAATCACCGGAGGGCCGACCGATCGTCCGACTACTGGCATCCGGAGAATCCATCGCGGAGGATAGCCCCGCGATTCCACCTTGGCAAGGCCTATCGAGGGACGAGGAAAGCACGCATTAAAAGTGCGCGCGCGCGCGCGCGCACGAGCGGAGTCAAGTTACCTCGATCGACACGCTGCCCGGAATGCGAATGGTCGAAAAGAAGTATATTTGGGATAATTCCCCCCGTGCGCGCGAATGATGGACGTTTCGTTCTGAAACGCGTCCCAGAATCGGCGTTATCGCGCGTAATAAGGGTGCACCGTGCAGGAGAAGGGAGGCGGGAGGCGGAAGGTGCCTCCTCGAATAATTACACCTGGCGAGGTTCTACAGGCGGTGCGCCTCGCAATACGCGATCATTGCGTGCGATTTAGCGTGGCCCCCATAGGTGGTGGAGAGAGCGCGATTACGGGGGGTATTGCGAGAGAGAGAGACACGTCGCGTGCTTCTCTCCCCTCCGAAGACGCCGCGCCTCGTCTAGCCGCGGTTTGACGTCGGCATTAGTTAGCCGCCATCTGTCGTTTGTTGTTAACCCGCGGCTCTCCACGCGGAAGATATCGTCGGAGAGGTTGCGTCAAACTTCTCTTCACAGGACTTCTCTGCGGACTCACCGCGCGTAGGGATTGTAAAAAAGGAACAAAACCCCGACTAGAAATTTTGATCAGGTTCGCCTAACATTGATAAGGACCTAATAGGTGATAAAGTGAATGAAAGGTAATCCAAAGTAAGTCAGTCCTTTATAATGTCCTAACGATAAATGAGTAAGGAAGACCTTCATAAGGTTCCAATGATTGGGTCCACATTAGGACCTTAATGTACCAACTTAGTGTATGATATAATAAGGTTCAGTTGATCAGATCCTTGTCGGAATCTTATTCATTGTACCTCATATGATTTGCATTATCAAGTTTTAACAAAATAATTTTTCGGTGTCATTTCCACGTATAAAGATGTTTGCATTGAAACAACACTTCAGATCACTTGAATATATTTGTAAAATGCTATAGAAACTTCCTTTTTTTAGCAGCAGCAATAAATAGTTGTAAAATTAACGTGACATGCAACTTTTCTCTTCAACACTACTTTATGTCTTGTCACCTTGTGATACTCTATGATCTTATGATATTCATTTAATGTTTTATTTCCGAAATATTTTACAAGTATGCTCAAGCAGATCTAAAGTATTATTTCATGCAAATATCTCTTTATTTGGAAATGACGTGAAAGAATTTTCAGCGTGTCATTTCTTATTTCCAATGTCATCATCCAATATAGCCGTGGCGAGTAATCAGGAGCCATAATTTGAAAAAAAAAAACGTAATAAGGATCCCATAAGGTAACTCCATAAAGTAAGGACCTGACTATGAATCCTTACTAAGGTCCTGATATCCACGCTGCGTTACACGACTTACTAGGACCCGATAGTATTACCTTATTTTATTGGACCTGATGTCCAAATGAATAACCTGATCAGCACCTGACCATGGGATAAATTTCTAGTCGGGACCTTTTCAAGTAATTATCGCGTAGCCAAAAGAAATATGATCATACTTCCCGCAATTCTCGCTGCGCATACTTCCGCATCTTCGCCGCGCAAGTGCAGCTTTCCGCACGATCGGTATCGAGCGGGTATCGAGAAGAAGCTCCGGAAAGGTTGCGCAAAATCGCTAAAGTCCCGTGGGAAATCACCCCGTTCCGCCTTTCATCCGTCGCGTTTCGGCCGTGGACGTTTTCGAGAAAGCCGGCTGTCTCACGCCGCGGCGGGAACGGAATGGAATCGTAGCCTGTCAGCGGCCGCTGCCGCGCGGCGGAAAACTCCGCGCGCAAACTTACTCCCGCCGCGCTCGCTGTCCGCCTTAGATAGCGGATAACTCGCGCGCGGGCGCGCGACGTGCGAAAGCAGCGACGGCTAGCCGAGGACGTAAATTGATATAGTTGGGAGCGATGGTCGTTAGGAGTGCATATAATATTGGGTGCACCTTTAGCGCGTACGCCCACACGCTCGGCGCGGCCGAGGATACGGGACGCCCGGCTGAGGCCGCTAGCTCGGGGCAACTCCGGGAGAAGAAGAGGAGGCGTGAGTTTACGATAAGATACACACAGCCACGCAGCTTGGCTTCTCCTCGCGCTAACGGGCTAATCGAATTGGGACTTATTGTTACGTCGCTCGCAGATCCCTCGTCGCGATAGCGCTCTAAAAATCCGGACTCGCGACTTGGAGCGTTCCCGCCGAGTCGGCGGGCGCTTCACAGCGTATGCAAATCAAAGCAATAGCACGAAACAGCATTAGCTCTTTCTTTCTCTCTCTCTCTCTCTCTCTCTCTCTCTCTCTCTCTCTCTCTCTCTCTGTTTCGCTCGCACCGGCCAGCCGGGAGAAATTGAAACGCAGAAATTTAGTCGCGATTGCGAGCGCGAAATACGAGAGAGCAGGGGGATTCAGTGGCACGTCTTTCCGGGAGAAATGCCGGGGATTAGTGTGAGACGCTCTCATTGTGGAGAGTCAAAACAAGCGCACTCTCGGAAGTCTGATTTATCATCGCCGTGTCACGCGGCCGTACACTTTCTCCCGATTAGCTCGCTCGCTCGCTCGCTCTTCGAGACGCGACGACAGAAAATGCGGGAAACGCGATAAGAGCTGAGCTCTCTCGGAGGCGTCATTGAAGAGCATCGCGCGCGGCTATTAAGAGCCGAGGGGCGCTCGCTTTCGCCCGTGTGCCACGCACGTTAGTTCACGCGTGACGGACGTGCGAATTGCACCAACTATCGCATCGAATCGCCCATTACGCCTCGCACCTGAGAGATCGTTCGCGTCAAAGCCGTCGCGCGCGTCGCGTCGCGTCACGTCGCCTCGGATGAATCGAGGCGCGCGCGAATGATCAACGCGCGTTAATTGCCCACGCGGTCGTTCGCGCCGAGTTCTTTGTCGGGCTTTGCGACACTACCGGTGCGCCATTGATCGCGCCAATCGATTCGACGCGATGATGCCTTCGCCACGACCCGCGCGAGTGTTCGCAGAGACGACGCTCGCGCTTCGCCGCGGAGAACGCCGCGCCTGGGTGTTCCTCTCCGCTCTGCGCGGCTGCTTCGACTCCGTTCTTCTCTTTTTCCGCGCTCTGCCCGGGATCCCCCGTGTGGCCTGCCAACCACGGGGAGCTATTCACGGAGGCTGATTGCCGGACGTTAAATTACCTACGCTGCCGTCAACGAGGCTGAATCCGACGTGACCTCCTTGTTGCACACTTTGCGCGCAACTGCCATCAGACTTATCCCGCTAATTTGCTCCGCGGAAACGTTGAGTCGCAATCAACTCTCAGACTGGGCTTACACCGCGATCCGCCAAGTGTCTTATTCTTGAACATCTAATGATAACTAAAGTATTTATTTGACCGAGGCTCGTCTCGCGCGCGTCTCTTGTCGCGCCTCAAGTCGCTTAAGTCATTCGTTAGGTTCGATCTCTGGCGTGTTCTCCGCCAGAAAACAGATTAACCTAAAGCGCGACTGTATATGAATACTTTCGGACATTTCGAACTATCGTTCGAGCTAAACAACGAGCCTCAACTTTCCATTGTCTTTCAAAGCAGCGCTGTCTGAGCGCGCTTGCGCCACGTGCAAAAGTTACACGAAACCAGCAACCTCGACAGCTTTTACAAATTGCCTTCTGTTAAACGCTCCTGGAGGCCAAGGCCTCCCAGAGTGATAATCAAAGCGCTTATTTATCTGCCCATCGGAATCTCTCACGATCTGTCATTTCGGCGGGAGATGTGCCATCGAAACGCCGTTAACGCGATAAATCGATCTGTGCACTTTGAACAACGAGCAAACGAGAGCCGCGTGCCTCTTACCGTCCTTTGCTATCACATCGCTCGATTTTCACTCAGAGAGATCCTTCGGTTCCGTCGGCGAGCCTCGCTGCCGTCCAAAGCCCAGAGCTCCGTCCAGTGTCGCGCGAGGCGTATCGCGGGCCTTATTAGTCCGCAATTACGGCGCACTTGCTGCCTCGACAATTTCGAAAGACCCGCGCGCACGAGCCGGGGCGAAACCGCGGCGCGGGAGGGCGCTCGTAAGCCGCGACGTTCGATTGCGCAATAAATCCTGATTCTCCGATTTGCAACCCATTTCCTACTGCGGGGGCGACGATCGGCGCTGTTAAATTGGCGCGTAGGTGCGATGGTAGGTACCTACGTGCCCGTGCACGTAGGTACGCCGAGCGTGAAAGTCGGAAGAACTCCTCGACTCTCCCTTTCCCTCTCGCGCTTCTCGCTGCACCTCTCTCTCTCTCTCCCTCTCTCTCCATGCGCGGCAAAATGCCTCGCAAAATGACCTTTCTTCAGCCGTGATCCGTTGACTTTATCGGTCGAGAGCCGCGAATTATCTACACGATCGATCCAACGTCAAGATATAAATATCACCTTATGCAGCGGCATTATGCGCACACTTGCGTCGCGCGACCGCCGCGCCGCGCGTCTCTCCCGTCGAATATCTCTCAATCCGCGCGACGGCGAGCCGATTCGCGGCGAGAGCGAAATGCCACCTTCCGCGCCGTGCGAGCGCGTCTCTCTCTCTCCGCTTATAATCTCGCCGTTGTCGCCGATGTCCTTCCACACGTGCGCGCGCGCGTGCGCGCACGCACACGCACATACACACACACACATACACAGACACACACACACACACACGCACACACACGCACGCACACGCACACGCTTCTACAACGTCGCCTTTCTGTTTCCGCTTGCAGACTCGGTGGCACAGACGGTCACTCTCACGAGTTTCGCCTTCTTCCTGAGCTCGGGGCTGAATCCGGCTTCGGGAGCGCCGGCCTGCAGTCTCCGACTCGCGGCCAATTCCTACAACATGGAGCCCTGGTCGCAACCCTGCGGCACCCCGGTGGTGGCGACGCTCAAGAGGATGCCGCAGCGGCACAGCGTGCACAGGACGCTCAAGAGGGTGAAGACGCAGCTGCGCGTCGCGCAGAATCACTTCAGGAAGGATCTCAAGGACATGCACGAGATTTACTCCAAGGTGAGAGACCGGGAGAAAGAGAAAGAGAGGAAGAGAGAGAGAGAGTGGGAGAGAGAGAGAGAGGAGCAGACGCGACGAGACGAGAGATCTGCGCTGAGGCGCTCTCGCGACCGCGATTCCGTAATTAATCGCGGCACGTCGCGTCGGCTCGGCTCGGGGTAAAGCCGCGTGGGCAGCCGCTCGAGGGGGACTCGCGCGCGCACGTGCACGCGGCGCACAATGCAACATCGCTGCTGCACACAGTCCTACTTTCCGCCGGCAATTTGCATCGGTTACGATGTGCCACGCGCTGCGCACATCGAGAGCGCGATTGCTTTTTCCACTTGAAGGGTGCCGCGGCGGCGCGCTCTTCGCAACCGCTCTTCGTGGACGGATTCGATGACGGATCGCTTCCCGCGCGCGTTGCGGAACTTCGCTCTCGGTGTGACTGAAAACTTGTCGTCGTGCTCGGCGCGATGTTATTAAATAATGTGCCCCGGCGCGGCGCGGCGCGGCGCGGCGGCCGGAGCGGAGATAAGCGCGCGCGCGCATTTACATAAGAGGCTTTACCCGTTTATAACACCGTTGTAATGAGATGAGATGGATGTTATTGTTTGGTCTGCTCAAGAGAGAGAGAGAGAGAGAGAGAGAGAGAGAGAGAGAGAGAGAGAGAGAGAGAGAGAGAGAGAGAGAGAGAGAGAGAGAACGCGCACACTAAGATCGAGTTCACGGGGATCGCTCGGGCCGCCTCGATAGAGCGGTATATTTTGTTTATGGACTTTTATCACTTTGAAGCTTACCCCGGGATACGTGCGGCCGCATTCCGCGGCGGATTTGTGATACCGTGCGACTCCGATAACATAACATCGTGCTAACAACGTACCGGCGCGGCGCACCGGTCCGTCGTCCGTGGCGAGATTATTGCCGCCGGAATGAGGATTGCGGCGCGGAAATGTCACGCCGGATAATCTACTAAATAATTCATAAATACGCGACGCGTGCGGCCTATCGAATTTATGCGGCGTGACGGCATCGCGATGGAGTTGCGTGAGATTTCTGGCGAGAGAAGTCACCGCGCGCGACGCTGTCCGAGCCTGCGAGATGCGAGAGACGCGCCGCGAGAGAGTCCCGTACTTCGCGACGCGCCTTCCCGCAGCGCTGCGACTCAGCCGCTCCGAGAGCGCGTAATGAAGAAATCAATTCTCGCGCTCGCACAGATCTATTTCGCCGTCACGTCGGCGAGAAACGGCTGCGTTCAGCGGACAAGCTGCTGTCGTCGAATTCGGGAGTCTGATTCGCCTCAAAGCGCACGACGGACAGGCCGACGCACAGATGACACGCTTTGGTTCAAAATTCTTTAGAGACCTGAATTTCCAACCAATCGTCGACACCAATGGACGAGGTTGATCCTGAATAAATTCCGAAGAGATCTGTCTTGCCGAAATTAAAAAGGAAATTTTCTTTTCGAATTACTAGCCCCAAAAGAGGAAAAATTATCGTTAAACGCGAGAAACTTGTGAAATACTCATTATTCGACACTCTCCACGCGGTGCACATTGGGTCATGCTAATGTCGACGGTGATTACTTTCTATCCTCGTATGATGGCTTATGAGCTGAGGTTTATAAGCTTTGGGCTCATGGACCATCAGGTTAGGGTTGGATGTTTTGTTCAATGTTCTCCATGTTTTTATTTATTGGGTTCATATGGTTTATTTCTTTCTTAATGCGGGCTGAAATGATGAGCTTTGAAATTCTGAGTTTTCTAAAAGGTGATTATAAGTTCTGGGATCTCGCATTTAGTATCCATAAGGCTCGAACCCATTGAGGTCGAACCCAAGACGCTGTACTTTAAACGATAAACTTTTAAGACAAACCCTAAACCCATAAACTCTGAATCGATAATTTTTCCAAAATTTCGATTAGACAGATCTCTTTGGAATTTATTCAGGATCAACCTCATCCGTTGGTCTCGATGATCGGTTGGAAATTCAGGTCTCTAGAGAATTTTGAACCAAAAAATGTCATCTGGTCCGACTGTGCGACAGGTGCGTGTTCGATGGAGAACTGTGACCGCGCATTTAGAGAGATCTTCCCGCCAATCTTTCTCCGACCCTACTCTCTCTTAATTCTTGAACACTGGGGTTGTGGGGTTCTGTCACTAGGACGGGTGAATTTTCACTCATAACTTTTTTATTATTTTTTTTTAGTATACATGAACTATGAATATTTATAAACATTATAAATCCTAGCAGGACATCGCTGTGTAATGTGCTGCTATTTAGTAGCAACGATTAAAAAATGTCGTTTTCACCCATCCTAATGTTCAAGGGTTAAGCTTCCGAGTTCCGAGTTGTGAAGGTTCTTCAGGTTCGTGCAAGCTGCAGAATTTTCCCATCCGGCGAACTTTACACTGACAGTTTCCAACCTTTTTATCGTTTTAGTCGCATACTAAGCAATATACCAGTTTAGTTTTCCAGGCGGTATCCTATCAAAGTAAAAGTTTCCAGTAACTTTGTATGAACCTAAGAGCATCCACCAAGCAGATTCACGCAGCTTTGCGTTAATCGTGAAGCGACTTTCTTTGGCGAACGCCAAAGTCGGTGATCGGCATTATCGAGTTTTGAACGCTATCAGAAGGAAACGAGAAGAAAAAGAAAAGATCGTTCTACAGCGACGGAAGAGTATCCTCTGGCTCTCGATGCATGATGCACAACAAGCCCATTAGAGTAGCGCGTAGTAGCGAGGAGGTTAAATATACTCGACGCGCCGGGCGTGATTCCGCGTAGGATCTCGCGAATTCGCAGAAATTGATTATGCCGAGAGCGCTCGGCGCTCGGCGACGTATAATTACGGGTGCGCGCGAGACTAAACATTATCTCATCTTTCCGCCACAGGTGTACAAAGTGCTGAAGGAGCAGTACAAAATGAATTGGCTGCCCGAGAAGCAGCTCGAGTGGTATCACAAGGAGCTCTGGTGCCTGGAAAAGGGGAAGAAGGCCGAGCGCGCCTTGCCGCGCTTGCACGACGCGCTGCAGAGGTTCGCCATCACGTTCCACCACCTGCGGGACTACCAACTCAAGTCGCACATCAACGTCGACCTCACCATGGACAGACGGAACGAGATCGTCGAGGGGATGTACAACGAGATCCTGCGGGTGAGTCGCGGCGCCCCGGCTGCGCCTCGGAGCCTCGTCGGATGACGCGCGCCGCTCGTTATTCATTGAAATTTGCATCGCCGCGGGATCGCTCGTAAATCAAATTAATCGTTCGGCGACAACACGACGCGTTAGATTTATCGACGCCTTATTAGCCCGATCTTGAACGCTCGTTGATCAAGCCGTCGCGCCGCCGCGGAGCTCACGAGAGCGCGACGGACTGTCGGAGAAGTCGCGCAAGCGAGCGTACACGATGAAAACCTCTAGTGACGCCTCGTCTCCCTACGATCACGATTGCAGATGCTGTGCGAGGTCGAGACCGCCATTCTGAACCTGAGCTTGCAGCTTCCCACCCCGCACAAGGCGCATATCGTGACGGAGAGCCCCAACTGGGCCAACGAGGGCGACCTGACGCTGATGCTGATTCAGGACTGGGGCGTGCTGCGACTCTATCAGATTTTCCTCAACGACTGGACCAGGGCGTTCCGTAACGCCACCGCGACCGGGCCCGGCACCTGCGATCCCAGCACCATCAAGCCGCTCAACTCCGTCAAGAAGAGCGTCAAGAAGAGAGTCGGCGAGAAGAACGGCAAAAGAGCGTCGCCGAAGAAGAAGCAGAGCAGATCCTCGAGGAAGCACGGCCTCGCGCCTGGCCGGAACAGTTCCTTGGCGCAGCGGCCGCCGCGAAAGGGACCGCCGCGGAACAGACTGATGAGGAACAAGCAGAAGAAGCCCTTGTTGTTGTTCGCGGACTGAGAGGTGCGTCTCACACGGGCACCGACGAGATCTGCCGAATTTTCTAGCTCTGTACAGCGTCGACTCGCACGTACCACGTCTCACACACACACACACATACACACACACACACACGTATACGTAAAGCCTCGTATTTATATCCATTATCGCGACCTACCATCCGTTCAGTAGACTCGCAGGTTCGCCGATCAGCAATCGTGCCCGACGCTGTGTTGTTGTTGTTGTTAAGATTAAGAAGCGGCGGTAGCGTCTCCGCGACACAACCGCGCCTTGTGAATAATTAATTTAATGGCTCTTGAGATTCTTTCCACACACACACACACACACACACACGCGCGCGCGCGCGCGTGCGCGCGTGAAACAGTCAGGTCGGCCCGACTGGCGGCAATAGAAGTATCCTTAATGGACAATAAACTAGAAACCAGTATTAAGAGATTTACTTCTGAACAGTATTATATCGAGTAACATATGCATAGTGCCGAGCAAAGAGCGAGTAGTACGTTGATGAACACGTTACGAGGATGCGATCGGTGTTACCGTTTATAGGCGGGAATATTGGGTTGTTCGACGAGAGCAAAGTAGGGATCTTTGCGAGTAACCCCATAGGCCAGGCGCGTAACTTTCTTCCCTTCTTCGTCTTCTGCAATTGAAAAAATTAAATTGAAAAAATGGCCCATATATTAGCCAACCAAAATTACGATCGATTAGAGTAAGATCATCGGCTTTGAATTCTTTGCGAAAGTCCCTGCGAACTTTTCGAACAACTCGATACGTAGACTGTGTCTTTTTATGAGACCTTTGAAAGTGAGATGTAAAGGACAGCTATGTTCTCTCACAGGCATACCGTCTTCATCTAGCTTTCTTCGGTGAGAATGAAGCTAGAAAGAGTGAATGTGTCAGCGACGCAGACTGTCCTTCTCTAGAGCGCTCAGTATATGCAAACATGGATTTTCTCCTCGGAAAACACGACACACGCCTGTCGGAGGACGACAGAGAGAGAGAGAGAGAGAGAGAGAGAGAGAGAGAGAGAGAGAGAGAGAGAGAGAGAGAGAGAGAGAGAGAGAGAGAGAGAGAGAGAGAGAGAGAGAGAGCCAAACGTGCAGACGCGTCGTGCGTCTGATCGCCTCGTCCTGCGCACGGTACTTAATTACTTAATAAAACGTAGATTACGCTGACGGATTACGGTCGAACGAAGAAGCGACCTGCTGCACGAACGTGAACGCGCGGCTCAGTCGCGGCGTCGGATCGCGAAGCGGTCGGCACGCGCACGCGTCGGCGGCGCGATCGCAGGTGAACAAGATCAGCGACGCGAGTTCCGGGCGGTTCGTCAAACTTATTTATTCTAGCTTTAAACCCTCTTCTCTGAGCAGGCGGCGAGAGCTTAAGTGTTGTTTAGCTGTGATATACCGAGCGTACGCGGACGTACAGAGTTCCTACGTTTATAGTTAGGCGCATACACGCACATGCACGAGAGAAAGAGCAAGAAGACAAACACGTACACGTACACACGAGCACATAAGAGACACACACACACACACACACACACACACATATACACGCACACTAATATGACAGGTATGGTGCGTTGGCGCATACCATACGCGTGCTTTAGACGTAGGTGATTCTCTCCTCTTTTCTCGTATGTTTACCGTAGAATCTCGCCATGTCGCGCGGCAACATGACAATTTTATCTTTCGTATATAGTTAGTCCGTTAGAATCGCGCTCCGTCGTAGGCGCGAAAAAGAGAGAAAGAGAGAGAAAGAGGGAGGGAGGAAGGGGGAGAGGGGGAGAGAGAGAGAGAGAGAGAGAGAGAGAGAGAGAGAGAGAGAGAGAGAGAGAGAGAGAGAGAGAGAGAGAGACGTTTTTGTACGGCGTCAAAACGCCGGGAATTCCGCTTTCCCGTGATTCCTGTCGCCGTCGTCTCACCTGTGAATGGAAAACGTGCGCGCGCGCGCGCGCGCGTTGCGACTTGCCTATGCAGGTGCGAAAGCACCAAGGGACCATTACGTCAATTCGAAGGGACGGGATTTCGTTTCGAGACGAGATCAGATCCCGACCAGAGATGGTCTCTCGCCCGTGCGAACGTCAATTTCGCGCCAGCACACGCACACGACCTGGCGCGCCCTTTGCGATAGGCTACGAGACGCGCACGTACATGTACGTGTACGTGTGCGTATTTAAATGATGTAGAGACGCGACTCTTGTATCGTTTAATAACGGCGGCGCGGCACTATTAGTACTTCCAGCGCGTCCCCCCGTTAATCATTAACGTTCTACGCATATTTTTTTCTACCACACCACGTGTGCGCACGTGGACGCCTCCGGATTCGCTTGACGTTGACGCGCACTCCTTAGCCGTTTTAAGGACCATTACGTATATACCGTTGAATTACACGTAGCATATTTATTCCGACGTACATGCATACTTTACGCAGCGCTCTGTTCTATTTATTGTATCACGTTACCATTGCATGTATTATTTATTTGTCTCATTCCCGTACTTATGTAATATGTGTAATCGTCTCGAATAAAATGCAATGTTTTGTATCGAAGCGGAATGTCTACGGAGTCATGCGTGTGAGACCGCGGGACGAACCCTCCTTTCTCACCTGTCCCGACAATCTAACGGCGGCTGTCGTTCGATAACGCTGCTTCCGGTGATATCGCGGACGTGCAAAAATGCACATTCTATCAGGAAATAACAGGAGTACGTGAGGAGAGCGCGCATTCGTCGTAACGCACGATCATGCCCCGTAACGCATGACGGGACCACGATATTCTGTTCGAGAGAGAGAGAGAGAGAGAGAGAGAGAGAGAGAGAGAGAGAGAGAGGACAGATAAACATTTATCGCCGGAAACGCGCGAAACACTCGTTTCATCGTGGATGGCGGTGAGATACCGGCTTTCGATGAATTTGCTCGAGAGGTCTCATGCATCGTAACACGTCAATCCATCTGCCTGTGATTGAATAGTCGCGGACTCTTCGTGCGCGCGCTGTGGAAAGTAACCGCGTATGATCTCGATATTCATATCGCGATAATCGTCGATAATTATGTCACGCGTGTCTCTCGAAACATGATCTCTCGAACGATCTGGTCCTGAATATGTAATCTGTTTGAACACACGTAGATGCGTCCAGAGGTATTTTATCACGAGGGAAACTGTCGATCAGAGCCCTTGGAAAATGTCTAACGCTGATATCTTTTCGCGCGCGTTATCGAAGTAGCAGTTGTCGCGGGGCTGAAAGATTACGTCGCGCGGTTAAACGACAACAGCGGATGCGTGCGGAAGAAAAAATATCACACACGGCGCTCGCCGTGTAACTCAAACACAGTCTTGTAATGATTGTGAATGGCAGACCGACCGTCGCGCTTCGGCCGCTCGCCGAAAACTTCACTCGCACGCGCGCGGCGTTTCCGTTATACTGTTTTCCCGCGAGTCAGGATGATCAGGTCAGCATGATAGCTCGGCTCCCCGTGATTCGCAAGAGAGATTTTCCAGAAGCAGCAAATGTAGTAATAGGAGTGCACGAAGGGCGGATAGGTTATAAATTTCCCTTGGCCGCACTTTGCGCTTGCGGAGCTTGAGTGTATTATGATCGCTGCGCAGCCCGGCGCGGCGCGGCCGTCCGGCTGTACCGCCGCGTTGATGTAAATCGTTTGTTGTGTAAAATATATACACGAGCAGAACTGAAATATACACATGGCCGTGCCACACAGTCTCGTGCCGCTTAGACGAGTATGCGCGAGCAATTAGCGCGCGCGAGCACTTGCGAATGTTTAATTCACGGTGCAACCGCGGGGCGCGTAATCGTTCAATCGATCATTCATATTTATAGATCCCACAATTACCGAAGATAACGACGACACTCCTCGCATGCCGTGTCTTCCTCTCACTTCCGCTCGTCGTCGCACGTCACCGTAAGCGTCCCTGCCGCAAGACGCCCTCCATTGACTTCATCGATGAAACGTCACCGAATGAACCATCGCGTTTCATTCGGGCACATTCAAGTTACTTCAGCGTATTTTGATGAAATCACCGAAGCCGCTGCGTGCGATGCGCTTCTGCGTTTGCCCGTTGTTTGTTTTCCTTCGATCGCGATACACGCACACGCACATACTCGGCGGCCGCGAAATAGCAGGACGTCACGTCACGACACGACGCGTCGCGTCGATCTCTCCCGATGGACCGTGAGAAAATCGCTAATCTTAGTTTTCGGTGAATTCGCGAACGACCTAATTATAGTATCGCTTTTTACGACGCGCCGCGCTGTACGCATGTCGACGTGCGTACGCGACGTTACGTCCACTTCATTCAGAACTTTTTGCCGACATCCCCTGCCCGGCACGTTTCGGCGAAAAAGAACTGACCTCCTGACGTCAAGATCCCCCGGGGCTGATCCGGCCGATTAGAGATAGGCCTGCTTCGTCGGCGCGCGATAAAAGGGAATATTGTTGTCTTTGTCACGCGACGAATTGTTGCGCCCGGAAATGACGTGGGCGATTTGTCAAGCTTCGTCAAGCGAGAATTTTGCAATCAAATCAGGATCAAAGAAGGCCAATAAGATCTCTACATGGGTGGTGTTTCAATATTCGCCAAAGTCGAGACGTTATTTCACTCAGCCGCCCGAGATTTCAAACACGACACACATTTTTCAGTTTTTCACGCAGAAAATATATAACTTTTCGATTCCTGAGATATGCGGGTGTGAGTTTCTATAATTTCTATAATGACAGATTGAACTTTCCCAGATCCTTCCACCGTACTTCGAAATACCAAGTGCGGCAGGACGATGAGAGAATTCGCGACGTTCCGATCGCAAACATCTTTTTAGCCGATGCAAACTCTATTCCCTCTCGGAGGCCAAACGAATTTGCCGAATGACGATCGATCGTCACATCGGCGCTACGCTGGTGGGTAAAAATAATCGTTTGTAAGCGTAACACACGACGTGTCGGTGCCGAAAGTCCGGCGACTCGCCCGTGACGACGACACGGCTTTCCCATTTGAATCACAATGCAAATAGAACGGTGTTTGCGCCTGAATAGCGCGCGCGGATTCTGTGAGATTTCTGACGGGTCGAGCGTACTTCCGACGTACGTGCAATTGCCACAAATGTATGACGACAGGTACCGTGTGTGTTTTTCGGGGAAAATCGAAACGTCCATATATGTGGGCGAGATCCGCGAAGCATAACTGTTAGGGACCGCTATCTAAGTGAACACGTCACTTAGATATATTTGGATAGCCGCATGATTTCCGTGATAGGATGTCTATGATTAATCGGCGATTCCACCGATTGATTATTTATATATATTGTTTATTAATATATTATTAATATATATATATATATATATATATATATAAGGCGTCAGGGATCTTTTGGAAATGAAAAATTATAATGATTAATCAGATCAAACTGAGAAGAAAAGTCATGTACCATTTTGCAAAGATCGCAATAGCTATGAAGTTATTAATGATTGAAAATAACGTTTAGAGGATTTTCCTATCGATAAGTTGAAAATTTGCGTACTATTTGCAAAATAGTAGAGGACTCTCTTTTCTTTTTTTTTGTTCAGAATGACCTAATTTACAATTATATGACGGCTATTGTGTCTAACGATACGATAGATACGAGTACATTGCACTTTAAAACCTGAATCTCGAACCTGTCGCTAGGCACAATAGCCGTCATATAATTAGGTGCTTAATATACTTTGTATACATATATGGGGTGTCAGGGGGTCTTTCTTTTAGAAATGAAAAATTGTGAAGATGAATCAGATCAAACTGAGAAGAAAAGTCAAGTACCATTTTGCAAAAATTGCAATAGTTATTAAATTATTCATGATCGAAAATAACCACATCTAGAGGGACTCTTTTAATCGATAATTTAGAATTTTGCGTACTTATTTGCAAAATGGTAAAGAACTTTTTCAGAATGATCTAATCTACAAGTATACGACGGCTATTGTGCCTAGCGAAAGATGTGAGTATATCGAACTTTGAACCCTGAATCCTAAACCTTTTCGAGTTATCAGTGAAAAGAGCCTCTAGATGTAGTCACTTTCAATAATTAATAAGTTAATAACTATTGCGACTTTTGCGATAACGGTACTTGACTTTTCTCCTCAGTTTGATCTGATTAATCTTCATAATTTTCCATTTCCGAAAGATCCCGAGCCTGTGTATATGTGTATTATTCGCCAATCTTCTTAAATTAATAATTCAAAATTTTACGTGGCTCTTCGCGAAGAGGTGGAGGAACTTTTTGTTCCGCTTGACGTAATCTATACGCACACGAGAGATTTCTGTTCATCGTCAGGCACTCTGCATACACGTACATATCTCGTGTATGCGTGGATTAGGTCGAACCGGATAAAGTCCTGCATCATTTCGCAAATAACCACGTAGATTTGTAATGATTAATTCAGCAAGATAAACGGACGATCATGTGCGACATCTGGGCGAGCAAGCTTACCTCAGACTGCGAACTCGACATCGTAGGATCGTTCAGTAAAGATTACCCACGACTCGCGCATACTTCCAAATCGAGCAGCGACACGTCCATCTTCCAAAAGTCGATCGTTCTTTCGCTCGTGGGAGGAACATGCGTCTGCTGCGCCGACGCATGTGTTAAACAGATCGAAAGTGCCCGTAATTATGATAAATTCATGATCAATCGAAAGAAGAGCAAGACCGCGTCCCGAGAGCGCTGTGCGCGGTGCGACCTGTTGAGCCGCGCGCGCGCGAGAGGAGAGGCCTCTCGTGCGTTCGGCCGCTGATTGCATCGGTCTATCGCGGCCTCATTGTGGCTCGAAAAAAGCGTCTGCGTGCCAAGGATGGGGACTTGAGGCGCGCGCGCGCCTGTGACTGTCGGGGTTCCACCGGCTGGACAATAAAAAACCGTGGCTCGCCGCTCGCCTCCACCCCACCGCCGACGTCTCAGCGCACGAGACGTTGAACATGCGTGCGTACGTTCGATTGTTTACACAATCCCATATATAAGGAGGAAGCACGGGAGTTCGATAATCTCAGTTCACGGTCTCACGCCGATCGGGAGTATCTCCGTGCGAGTGCCTTGCCGCGTGCACTTTTCCGCGAGACGACTTTCGCAGCCGCACCGTTCCAGCCGCAAGCAGCGCGCGAAAGCGAGTTTCTAACGAGAAACCCCCGACCGAATCCGAACATGTTCCTCGAGCGAGTCTGCCTCATCTCCGCGGCTGTCTTCGTGGCCGTGTCCGCGGCACCAAAGAGGGTGACCAGGTCTACCGTACCCACGTGGCACGTCCCATGCGGCGAGGACTACGACGTCGAGGTAGCCTCGTGGGAGGTCCTCGAGGAGGAGACGATGAACAGCCTGGAGAGTCTCAGGCTGCAGCACCAGCTGTTGATGGGCGACTACTTGAGCCGAGACTACAATTATCTGTACGAGAGGGTGGACTTCAGCGTGAAGAAGAAGCAATATATACCCAACTGGCTGCCCGACAAAAAGGACGTGGATCTCGTGAAGCGACTGGCCAACGCCAGTCCTCAAACGGTAAGCGCCAATTAACACCGCGTTGCGCGTCCTCGTGAAAGTGACTCGAGGGCAGCTCTCGCTCCGATCCGAAAGACACCGAAAAGACGAGCGATTGACGAAACTATCGTGTCGGAGGCACTTGGCAGCGATACGCGACACTCGAGTCGCGATTGCTCGATCGGCGACGAGCCGCTGCGCCGCGAGTCGCGGCGAGTCCCTCCATCGTACGGAGGCGCGCAACATCGTTCCACAACGACATTCGCGACGTTGCACTTCGCGAGCCGTTAGTTTCTTCTCGGTCATTAATATTCATCGCTCATAACCGTCGTTACCGTGTAGCAGAAACGAAAGAGCAACCTGGGCGAGGGTCTAGCGCGTTCAGGTGAGAGACGGAGCGCGAGAGCGCGACGCGAATGTAGATAGGGAGAAGCAGAGAGAGGTAGAGAGAAAGAGAAACAGAGTGAAAGAGACCGAGAGAGAGAGAGAGAGAGAGAGAGAGAGAGAGAGAGAGAGAAAGAGACAGCGAGCGAATGAGGGAGAGCGGAGCCGCGGCGTCGCAGGCCGGCCGGCGCGTTTTCAGCGATCGGCCGGCCCGCTGACCGTCCGGTTGCAATTGATTAACGCAACGTTAAATAACAAATTTTAATGAGACGGTAATTATTATAAAGTAGCAGGCGAGCAGGAGCGAGCGCGGTCATTCGTGCAGTGCGCGCGCAACGTGCGGTGGTACGTGTGCACTCATGTTCGCCGGGTCGCGCGGCTGCGTAATCGCGCTCGTCTGCCTCCTCGATGCGAACGCGCTGATAACGCAGGCTGATATCGCGGCGACCCGCGGTACTCCCCGGATGCCGGCGCGTTCGAGCACGTAGCTTCTCGCTCTCTTCTCGCTCCGCTCTCTCTCTCTCTCTCTCTCTCTCTCTCTCTCTCTCTCTCTCTCTCTCTCTCTCTCTCTCTCTCTCTCTCTCTCTCTCTCCCTCTCCCTCTCCCTCTCTCTCTCCTCCTCTCCCTCTGCCACGCCCCGATCGCCCGGACTGCATTGATCCACCGCGTTGCACTCGGGTCTGCATCTTGGTTGCACGTTCTTGAAAGATAGGACTTTATGAAGGCTCCTCGGCGGACTTCCCCGCGGCGCCTTGAGCCGCGAGCGTTGATAACGCGCACGGAAATGAGATCTTATCAATCGCGGAACTGTCTCGCGCGAATCGCCGATCTCAGCTCCGGTCTCTTTCATCGCGATCGCAATTGCTCGCGGCTGCTTTCTTTCGTCATTGTGGATTCGCAAATTGCAACCCGGTGCGCTCGCCGGGGATTTTCTCGAGACGCCTCTGAGTTTCCAACGGCTCGCGATAATATAATTACGCGATAAACGGACGCGTAAAGATCTCGCCGTCACTAGTGGAAAAAAGCGGCCAACTGTAGATTCGCATGTTTGGGTTACTTTGCGACGATCCACGCCGGACTTTCTCCTTTGACTCGTTAAATCGCTCGTCCGGGGCGATATGTAAGGATTTTGTCGAGGTCTACATGTGTGTGACGGGACATATTCAAATTGTAAATTTTTATTGGTCGAGCTGTTTTACTATGTTTTTAGAGCGATGAAGAGAGATAACAAAGACCGAGTCTGTCTCGTTTTTCGAGACAATTCGCGGAGTTTTTTCTTCGGCTCGACCATACGTCGCAAGTCATATATGATAACTTTGTAAAAATATATTTAGAAAAATTATTTAAACTCGGAAGCGACGTGTTGGCGTTCTTATGATTTTTCGATTTTGATCATTATTATTATTATTATTATTATTATTATTATTATATCGCGACACGGCATTCATTTTTGCTCGGAGGCCGCCGCTAAACAAAGCCTGAAGTTGGAGAAAACAAATCGCCGCCGAGATATGCTTCCAACAAATATATTGCACGCGATGAAACTAGCATTAAACGTCCGTAATCGCGTGCGAGTCCGCTAGAATAGCTTCTCGATCGCGAGCGATGTCGCGACGATCGGCGTTAAAGCAGTCTCACCGAGCCTGCGGGATTAAAGTTGACGCTGCTTTGCCTAATCATCATCGAGTGATCGATCGATCCGGGACTATCGCTCGCGAGCGGGACACCCTGTGTGAAAGGTCGCAGGTCGCTACAATCTCGCCGTGCAACGGTGTGTTTTACAGATCGTCAACCACTTTCCGAAGCTGCACACGGACCTGCAGAAATTCGCCGTGGCGTTCGAGCAGTTGGTGAAGGACGAGGACGACGTGAGGAAGTGGGAAGCCCTGAGAGGCACGCAAACGTACTTGAACAGCATGCTGTGCGAAGTCGAGAGCAACATTCTCGCGCTGCCGTCCCTGCGACTGCCGACGCGCGTGCAGCGGAGCATCATGAGCGAGCGCGAGCGGATTCTGCCGGACGAGACGAACCGACTGGTCAGGGATTGGGGAGTGATTCTCAAGTACCAAGACTACCTGCATGCCTGGCGGCACGTATTCAACTATTAGACGCGAAGCGGCAAAAATATTAGACTGTCGTCAGCGAGTCATCGATCATTCTCGCCCAGCGAGACGACACACACACGCGCACACACATACACGCACGCACGCACGCACGCACGAGACTGCATCGTATGCGAGCGACCGATGTAAATTGATTTAGCACCTGCCGCGACTGCCGGGCCATAAAAGCGCGTCGTTATCTGCTGCGTGCGTGCAGGCAGTAAACGTTGAAGTCATTGACAATAATCGTTGATCACGTAGACCTAGATGAATTGCGGAATCGCTCAGCCGCGAATTCGCGCGACTAAACTCCCGCGCTAATTTCCTCAACTACTATTTATTCGAGCGACTATTTATTGCGCGCGAGCGCGCGCCACGGCGAACGATTAGCACGTAGTATTTATTTGTTCCCGCGCACTTGTTCCCGCGGACTATTTATTGAGAGTCTTAATTTATTTATTCTCGAGTCTACCGTACCTCTCCCGACGTACGCGAGTCCTCGCGACCGGTGTCCGACCTTCTCGAGATGCTCGGCCGCGTTTTGTGATAATAATCAGTCACGCACGGCGACAAGTCACAGCTTGTCGCACACCCTCGTGACCAGTGATCGCTCTCGTAGAGCTAGATTAATATTTATGAAAGACATCACTCTTTTTTCGCGCACAAGACAAGACGTATTTATTTCGCAGTATTATATACGTATTTATGACTCGGACAGGACTGGATGTTGTGTATGTATTTATGTATCGTACGCCCCTAGTAACTTATGATTAGTGATTTTATACCAAATTTCACGCAATAAAACAGAGCAATGGCCTCTTCTCTTTTCAAATATATACCTGCGCTCGTTTTCTGTATACTTCTTTCGCGTTACCGGCTTATCGTACGCGCGTCACATCGATATGGGAGGAACGTCACAGATGTCTCTAATGTTCAATTTCATGGCGCGATTGATTGGGAAACAAGAGAGAACCACGTTGCTTTATGCAACTACCGAATATCATCAGTGGGAGGCTATTTTCAGAAAGATGCTGAGCAATGTTGGAAGTTGCAATGTCAGCGATGAAACTGCGAAACGGCGTAGCGCACGTACACACTTTGGACTTTGCACGGTTGCGCCATGATGCATCGGAGAAGGTGGTGTCGCTGAATTTTACGCGGCTTTTTCGACGGAAACCTCTCTCGCACTCTGCAACGTGCGTTTTTTCGTGCGATCGTGGGGAGATGGTCTACTTTCTTCTCTAAGGAGAAAACCAAAGGAATAAACTGAGAAGAGTTCACACACACGATCGCGATATGTTCTCTGCGGCAGGTATCTACTTGCCAACCACGGATAATCCACCGGTGAAGGATAATGTACCGATAAGGTCGGAGAACTTTCGTCAGGTTTATCCTGTCGCACGCGCGATCCTCTTTTAATCGTTCCACCAGTGAATGTACACCATCGAGAAGAAAATCACCCCTCTTTAAATAACAATCCTATTTTTCCACAATTTTCCCCTCTTCTCCCAATTCTTTCAAACAGATGAAAGTGCGACGATAATGAACAACGCAATTAATCACATCACCCGTCCCCGACGCGACGCGCGGAGCGATGCGCTTCAATTTCCAGCGAAATGTGCTCTGGCGAGAGAACGTGGTGCGCCGGGTCGGAGGTCAAGTCATCGCGAAATCACTCGCCGGCTACGAGCCAGCGTGAGCGTCACGAGCGTAGGTGGTGGGATCGGTGCGGGGGGATGGCGAGGAAATTGAAATGGATGCGAAAAGATGCGAATCCCGACTAGAAATTTATCCCATGGTCCTGATCAGGTTAACCTCATTTGGACATCAGGTCCCAATAAGGTAATACTATCGGGTCCTAGTAAGTCGTGTAACGCAGCGTGGATATCAGGACCATAGTCAGGTCCTTACTTTATGGAGTTACCTTATGGGATCTTCATTACGTTTTTTTTTTCAAATTATGGCTCCTGATTACTCGCCACGGCTATATTGGACGATGACATTGAAATAAGAAATGACACGCTAAAAATTCTTTCACGTCATTTCCAAATAAAGAGATATTTGCATGAAATAATATTTTAGATCTGCTTGAGCATACTTGTAAAATGTTTCGGAAAAAAGAACATAAAATGAATATCATAAGATCATAGAGTATCACAAGATGACAAGACATAAAGTAGTGTTGAAGAGAAAAGTTGCATGTCACGTTAATTTTACAACTATTTATTGACTGCTAAAGAAAGGTCTAGTTTCTATAGCATTTTACAAATATATTCAAGTGATCTGCAGTGTTTTTTCAATGCAAACATCTTTATATTTGGAAATGACACCCAAAAATTGTTTCGTTAAAACTTGATAATGCAAATCATATTAGATACAATGAATAAGATCCCGAAAAGGACCCGATCAACTGAACCTTATTATATCATACACTAAGTTGGTACATTAAAGTCCTAATGTGGACCCAATCATTGGAACCTTATAAAGGTCTTCCTTACTCATTTATCGTTAGGACATTATAAGGACTGACTTACTTTGGATTACCTTTCATTCACCCTATTAGGTCCTCATCAATGTTAGGTGGACCTGATCCAAATTTCTAGTCGGGATTCGACGGAGGAGCGAAAACAAGCATTACGTGCAGACGCTCTCACCGCGGCGCGCACTTTCCACGCGAGTGTTTCCTCACGCGTCTGGTCATCCATATTCCGTCCCGCATATATCACAAACCGCCGTGGGAGACATCTCGCTCGCTTGAATCCGCGGGATCACTTGTGGCGGGATAATAATCGTACGGAGCATCGTCTGACGACATGCAAGTGTACTTTTTACAACAAAGAGCGGAGATACTCGGCTTGCCGAGGCGGCGTGGAGGAAAGAAACAGAGGGGAAGGAAAGCAAGTGCATCGATGACGAGGGGGAGGAATTCTGAAATCTATTACGGTTACGAACTGACCGTCGACGTCGTTGGCTTCAATTAGACGGGTGGAACTCTAATTGGGATAAACCAGCGAAAATACCCGCCACTGTCTACCTGCCCGGTCGACTGGAAAGCGCAATTAAAGTCTCCCACGTGGGTACACCTAAATTATAATGTTTCCCAAGAACGAATGATACGGCGGTTTCTCCGTGCGTCGAGTATGTCGTTATCGGAATTAGAATCCGTAACTTTCATCCTTGCAACCTGAGAGCGCGCGCGCGCGCACGATGCGAACGAGCTTGTAGGAGAGACGAGCTGAGAGAGAGAGAGAGAGGGGGAGAAAGGATTAACGTTTCATTATCCTGTTATTAATTATTCTCGAAGGAAACGCTATCTCCCGGCGCATGAGAAAGTGTCCGCGTCGCCCGGCTACGACGTTATCGACGCCACTTCTTCGGCGCGTCCTTCCGCCGCCGCTTTCGAAAATACGAAGCGGCGGCGGAGTTGAGTAATCGCGCCGGCCAATAATTCAAGATCGCGACTTCACGCGCCAATTTGCTTGGCGAAACGGAACTAGTATCTCTCCGCGATCTCTCGTCGGACGAGCTCGCGCGCGCCGAGTTATCTTCCACACGTCACGGCCCGTTATTAATGAGGTTCCCCAAAAGTAACGGTCGTTGACCCGCGCGTTACTTTCTCCGCGTGTGGCTCGTACTCGATTTTGCTGATCACGCGACACGTCTCCCACACGTTCCCCATTGATCGGCTCGGCGAGTAACAGCTCAGCCCGCGTCGGCGGGAATCCGCTTTTCGAAAATGCCGGCAGAGGAAGAAACAATATGTTGCCGGGGGGTGCCTGGATTCTCCTTCGCCTGGAAAACTCGCTTGCCAGAGCAGGCACGTTGGAAACAATCGGCCGATTGTTTTCAATCATCTCGAGCGAGTTTCCAGGCGGACGGATGTTCAGACACGAATTCTCTCGGCCCGCGATATTACTTCTCGTCGCCTGATTGTTCTTCGTCTGATCACGAGGTGACGTCTCTCTCTCTCTCTTTCTCTCTCTCTCTCTCTCTCTCTCTCTCTCCCGCGCACAATTGAACGACGGATGCGTCGCGGAGAGTCGCATTCATCGATTGCCCGGCCGGCCGGTATGAGCGACTCTGGCACAGTTCGACTTCGTAAGTTTAAGTAAAGGCGATCGAAAGACATTAGGCACGTATATCGTATTCGTAAATGTGAAAGTTAATAACCAGATGGCAGAGAGAAGACCATCGGGATTATCGCGCGACTTTCGCCGCGCCATTTCGCTCGTAAGAGATCACAAATTGTATTAAGGTCTCCTCGGCGGATTCTCCCGGCGAGGAAGTCTACTTCATATCTCCGTTGCGACACGTTAGCCGCACCACGTCCAGGCCTACTTACACGCGCGGGATCTGACGAGAAAAGAAATTGTCGGCAATCATGTATGATGCGGAGGCCGCGCGGCGCGCCGTTCAATTTGCTTCGCGGATTACGCGTATTGAAACCAACAGGAAAGGGAGAGGGACGCGGACGCTGATCCGGGTATAGTTAAATTAAAAGGTGGAGGGGGAGGCTCTCACAGAGGAACACAGAGAAGCCTCGATTCTCCAGGATCACGAAGCCCGTGCCCGATCATACCAGATGCGAGTCGTAATCGTTGGCATTCAAATGCCAGCTCTTTGTTTGCCAGTTTCCACGGCGGGAATTGCACTCCCGCAGATGGTTGCCGTCGCCGCACATCTACCGAGAGAGCGATTCTTCCGTGTATACTGCGAGAGTACTGGCTTTTCGCAGATCGCAATAATTAGACGGCGGCAGAACGTTCACGAGGTGTCGCGAGGCAGCCGGATCGGCTGGTAGCCGACAGTTGTTATCTGTCGTCGTCGTCGTCGTTGTGATTTATCGACAGCCGCCGTGAGAAGAGCCGCGAACCGAGAGAGGAAGACACCGAAACTCCGGCGTTCTTCCGCACGTTTCGTACATTTCAAGCCTTCCAATTCGATCTTCGTTCCTTGCCAAACACGGTCAATCAATTTTCGAAGATATAGTATATTTCATAAAATGTATCGCGAGTGACTCCGCAGGTCGGCGCGAGAGACTCGTCGTACTCGCCGAGAAACATCGCAGACGAGACTGCGCAGTTTGGA